ACAGGGACATGTATTGTATCGTCCCACTTATATGAGATACTTAGGGTAGTCAAGTCTTAGAGACAGAAAGTAGAATGTGGCTGCCAGGGGCTGGGGGGACAGGAGAATGGGGAGTCTGTTTCATGGGTGGAGTTTCAGTGGGGAAGATAAGAAAGTTTTGGAGATGGCTGGTGGTGTTGGTTACAGAACAACATGAACGTACTTAATGCCACAGTGCAGTGCACTTTAAAGTGATTAAGATGGTAAATTTTGTGTTATATATTTTATATTTTATCACAATTTAAAAAATAGTATCTTTGCAACAGAGGAAACAGACTAGGAAAAAGAATGCATTTGATTTGATGGTATTCGAAAACTGGGAGGAGGCATGTAACTACCCTTCTTCCCTACACCCAGGAATAGCCCTGTGTTACCTTCTTCACATTCATGCCACCTTCAACAGCAGGAATTTGGGGAAGCAACACAGAAGCTGCATTGGGTAGCAGCTGGGAAGGGAGCCAGCCTAATTCCCATCAGTTAATCAGAGCTGGAAAAGCATGCCAGGTCTCTAGCCCAGAGGCCAGTGGCTGTCCATGAGATGACTTGAAACTTCTCAGCCTCCTGGGGCTGCCCCGCTCTTCATTTTCAGAACTCACCACTGCATGATGTGTAGGCTCTGAATCAGCCTTCTAGAATGTACCCCAACACCCTTGCCCTCATTAAAGTCCCTGGGATGTGGTGACAGAGAGTCCCTAATCCTTGGGGCCACACCAAGGCTGGAATGCACAGGCTCTGTTGCAGGGGCATTTGGTCTTGTGGCTTTGTTACAGCTTAGGCGTCTTATTCCACCAGGCAAGCCTCAGAGGCCTCTGAGGATCCTTCCAGCCCTGGACTAATAATTCACATTGAGTTAAACAGCTTTGTTCACTGCAGGACTTCTCAGGGCCTTTAGAATTTAAATGTTAAAGCAAATTGCCAGAGAGGGGTGTAGGATGCAAACTTGGACCCAGGAAAAGATGCTGAAGGATTAATGGTCTAAGGAATACTCTCGGGGGAGTGCCAGTGTCCAGATATCCTGCCTTCAGTGGGGCCCAGAGAAGACTTTATGGTAAAAGTCCTCCTTTGATCTATAGAATCGAATCCCTGATGCAGCCATTCCCCTTCAGAAATTAGCATATGTGGCAACAGCTCACCTGGCAAGCAGGTTCCCATGCCAGGAGACAATGAAGAAGGTGCATCAGGCCAGTGCCCTGCACAGAATGTTCCCCAAACAATTCCTGGCCTTCCACATTTGGAGGTGGGATGGCTGCAGCTGCGATGGCCTGATCTTCAAATGAGAAGAAACTTCTCACTGCCCTACTTGAGACCATTTCCTAGGGAAGCTTCACCTGTGCTCCTTAGAGAACGTTTCCCTTAGGCCTTTGGTTTGTGTTGTCTGTGACTTGGCCCCCACCGCGTGCGTTCCTGCAGCTGAGACTCAAGCACCTGCAGAGAGGCTGGTTGAATCTCGCCAGCACCTTTGTCACTGCTCAATAAGGTGCACCCCATGTAGCTGGCTTCAGGGACACACAGCCTACATGGTCACACAGGACCCAAGCCCAGAAGAGCCCTGCACATTTGGTTTGGTTTGGTGCTCTGTTCTCACCACCTTGAAACCTTGAAATTCTTTTTTTTTTTTTTTTGAGATGGGGTCTTGCTCTATAGCCAGGCTGGAGTGCAATGGCGCCATCTCGGCTCACTGTAACATCTACCTCCCGGGTTCAAGCGATTCTTCTGCCTCAGCCTCCCAAGTAGCTTGGATTACAGACACCTGCCACCACACACAGCTAGTAGAGACGGGGTTTCACTATGTTGGTCAGGATGGTCTCAATCTCCTGACCTCATGGTCTACCTACCTCGGCCTCCCAAAGTGCTGGGATTACAGGCATGAGCCACCGTGCCTGGCCAAAATTCTTAATAACCTTTAAATGAGGGACTCCCATTTTCATTTTGCACTGAGACTTGGAAAGTATGTGTTGGGCCCTGACCAGAGGTCCTCTCGGGCCACATGGTGAGGTGCCAATCAGTGACCTATAAGCAGAGCCTCTGCCCCACTCTCCACCAGGGCACATTTGCATTGCAGACAACATGCACACAGCCAGTTCAGCAGCCTTGAGCCCTTGCAGGGTGCAGGCCACAGCACTGAGCAGAAAGCACACCATATTTTTGTTTTTGAAGCAAGGTCTTGCTCTGTCTCCCAAGCTAGAGTGCAGTGGCATAATCTCAACTCGCTGTAATCTCTGCCTCCTGGGTTCAAGCTATTCTTGTGCCTCAGCCCCCAAGGAGCTGGGACTATAGGCACATGCCTGGGACTATAGGCACTATGCCTGGCTAATTTTTATGTTTTTGGTAGAGATGAAGTTTTGCCATGTTCTCCAGGCTGGTCTTGAACTCCTGACCAGGTGATCCACCCACCTTGGCTTCCTAAAGTGCTGGGATTACAGGCACGAGCCACTGCACCCAGCCACCACATTTGTTGGAGTTATCAAAATCTCCTTTACCAAAACTCAGCCAGGTTTATGGATCACTGATTAGGGAAAATGAGAAATTTAAGAATTTCCCTGTTGAGCAGGGAACATGATGGGGTGGACACAGGGCCAACCTGCACTGTAGCTCCGTCACAGCCCTCCCCCACCACTGCCTGCCTGCTCTGCCCCCTACAAACAGAAGCAACACGTCCCTCTGCTGACACAGGTGGCTGTCCGGAGCCTGCACTCCCTGGTGGGTGCCCCCCCAAGCTGCCCTGGGTGCCTCCCAGGCTCTATGTTGCTCCTGCTGGTGGAAGTCACTGTGGCCAGCTGCCCCTGCCCTGCTCTGGGTCAGGCAGGCTCATTTTAGCTCTCTTCACCCACCTGCAGCTTCCACCAAATTAAACCTCCCTTACACCAGGTACTTACAGCAGAAAAGGAGGCCCCAATTATTTGTAGTTCCAGACCAAAAAAATGTTAAGTAGTACCAGACACCCAACTCTGTCCTCCCATACCTGGTCCCAAGGTGGGGTTCTTTATAGACTTGGCATCTTTCCTTCAGGGCACATGGCTCCTGTTCAGGACTGGGCAGGGGACTGAGGTCGGGTCTCAGGTGTTGGAGGAACAGGTTGAGGTGATTTGTGGGTGGCAGTTGAGGGAGGGATCTGCTTGGCTCAGCTTCTGTCTCTGACTTGGGAGAACATGTTTGATAAGAAGGGGCATCCTGCTGACCACTGCACAGTTATCTGATTCATGATTCAGTTCAATGTCGGTGGCAGCCAGAGTGACTGACTCTTTCCATGAGAAAGGAACATCTCGAGATTACACAGGAGGATTCTGCACAAGGTTGGCCCCTGCTCTGCCTTTCTTATGCTAAGCTCAAGGTTACAGAGGCAAAGGGGAGCATTATTAAATTTCCCGTGAACCCTTTCCTCTGTGCCATCCCGCCAGAATGACAGGGAAGTGATGCATCCCTCAGGACTACAGACACGCTGGAGGGAAAAGTTCAAAGGGCAGCGTGAACTCGGCCTTTCTTCCTGGAAGGTTCTCGAAGTCCTTCCCAAGAGAGCTGCTCTGCCTTAAATAATAGAATCACTCAGTTGCTTTCACTGGGCACTTATCAGGTACAACACAAAATACAAGGCACTTTACTCTCAGAAACCCCATCTTGCAAGTTGGAGAACTATGTATTAAAGAACTAAGTCATTTGCCTGTGGACACCCAGCTAGGAAGTTAGTAGAGCTAGAATTCTCATCCAGATTGACCTGACTCTAAAGCCATGAGCTCCCACAGGGCCGCCGTGCCTTTTTCTCTCAGCCTGGTAGCTGTAAACCCAGTCAGAGAGGACGAGGGGAGGAGTCCAGTGGAAGCTAAGGTCCCATCACTGCCGCTGTGCAGGTTCAAAGCACCCCCCACCCCAAACACACACACCCCACAAAGCAGCTTCTTGTTTGAATTACTGGGGTCATCCTCTTAGGCCATGTTCTGAAGACCCCTTCACCCCAGGTGAAAGTGTTAACATTTTCTGTGGGCCATGGCCATCTTCTGCATACAAAGCCGCCTGTAACCTAACTGATCATAATTAGATTTTTAGCACATAATTACAAGATTAATGGATTAATCATAGTTTATTTGCAAATCGTTAAAAGCATTACTCAAAAACACTTTCCCTAAAGATTGTTTGGGTTGCCTAGGGCAAGATAATTAACAAGACAGAGGGAAAGAAATGAAAAACACAAAACCATCAACCTCATTAAAGACAATCAAATAAACGCTCCAGTTGACTGAGCTAGCTGTACAGCCTGCGGTGGGCCGAGAACCCTGGTCTGTTCCTTGGTGCTGAATTGACTCTTCAGGCACATGTTAATGAATTACTCTGCCTAAATACTTCCCCATCTTTCCTTTTTCTGGAACAGCCTCCATTTGATGGTGAAGATGAAGACGAACTGTTTCAGTCTATCATGGAGCACAACGTTTCCTATCCAAAATCCTTGTCCAAGGAGGCAGTTTCCATCTGCAAAGGAGTAAGTCGATTTGGATACCTTTTGTGATCATGGACTAAGAGCTTTGGTAGGAGAAATACTTGCCCCACACTTCTAAGAGAGATGGCAGAAATACCACAAACCCACACCACTGCATTTTGGCCATCGAGGGTGGGGGCTTGGTGTCACACAGGGCACAGTGGGGAAAGTGAAGGCTGGGAGAATGGATTGGAATCCCAGTACTTCCTGAGACTCTGGCCCAGTTACCTAGTGACTGCTGCACTTTTAATTCTAATCCATTTCGTAAAATTGTGGTGGGGACTGCCAGATGTCATCACAGGCCCTTAGAAAGAGTGTGCTCTCATCTCCTGTCTCACTTGGTGGGACTCAGTTAGTTCTTTGTTCACCACACTTTTTATGGCTATAGCATACATACAGAAATGGGCACACATCATCAATACCCTGATAAATGAATCATCATCAGACGCATCCACCCATGTAAATGCACCCAGCTCAAGAAACCATGTTTCCAACATCCTGGAAGCCCCCTCCTGTCCCAGCTACAGTCAGTGCTCTGCCGCAAGATAACCTGCCTCCCAACTTCAGACAGCATGGATTGGTCTTGCCCGTTTCCAGCTCTGCACAGACCTAACCTTGCATTGTTGCTCCTGGCCTGGCTGCTTTCTCTCAGTGTCATGATTGAGGATTCTGTCTGCATTGCTGTGTGCGGTTATAGTTCCTCCTTTTGTATTGCTGTGTCGTGTTCCACTGTGTGAACGCCATCGTTTCCTTCTCCATTCTACTTCTGGTGGATATTTGGATTGTTTCTGCTATGGTCTGAGGTCGTTGCAAATAGAACTGCTGTGAACCTTCTGGGGCATGTGTTTTGGTGAGGATATGCACACACCATGGTTGAGAAACTGCTCTAGGAACAGAATTGCTGATCATGACTTGTCTCGTTTTGAATGGTCAAGAGTTGGGTCACAATGTTATTTTCAGGCTTAGTAAGATGGAGTACAATATGCCCTTAACATTATCTGGTGAGTGTGACCATTTGGGAGGCATTTGCCACATGTCATCCAAGAGCAAGGCACTTGGAAGAGATACTGAGGTCGGGAGGAGCTGGCTTCTGTCTTCAAAGAGCTCACAGTCTGTGTTTGTCTCTGTGTCTTAAAATAGGCAAGTTGAAATTAACTAGTCACCTTCCTTGTTATAGCATTTATTTTTCTAACCTATGAGTCTTTGATTGATAATATTTTAGCCCAGAAAATACATAGACATATGCTTTTTGGTGTTTATTTGTTTTGTTTTGTTTTGGTTTGGTTTTTTGAGACAGAGTCTTGCTTTATTTCCCAGGCTGGAGTGCAGTGGCGCAATCTCAGCTCACTGCAACCTCCACCTCCCAAGTTCAAGCGATTCTCCTGCCTCAGCCTCCCAAGTAGTTGGGACTCACATGTGCCACAAGGCCTGGCTAATTTTTTGTAGTTTTAGTAGAGACGGGTTTCACCATGCTGCAGGCTGGTCTCGAACTCTTAACCTTGTGATCCGCTGGTCTCAGCCTCCCAAAGTGCTGGGATTACAGGTGTGAGACACCGCGCCCGGCCCCATATGATGCTTATTATAGCATCCTGTGTGATGCTAGACTGTGATGCTTTCAGCACATGCAGTTTTTAGTAATTGCATGCCTTTTTTTTTTAAACCAAATATATGTATAGCATGATGGTTCCAAAACAGATAATGTATGAGACATCTGTTTAAATTCTTCTTCCATTTGGCCATGGGTTCAGATTGCTTTCCTTTTCCCTCATCTTGAAAACCACCATAGGAAGGGCTATGCTTGCCAATGTCATTTTTGTGAGTTGGCTTCACTCTGTGCAAGCCACTGAGTGTCTCGGTCAGCTCTCTGAGATGCTGTCCGGGAGTCCACAAAGTTAGAGCTGTAGGCAGCGCTAGGCAAAGGGAAGGCGCTGTCTCTGGGAAGCTCTTGTGAGCCACTGTTCCCTTTTTCTCCTTTTCCTAGCTGATGACCAAACACCCAGCCAAGCGGCTGGGCTGCGGGCCCGAGGGTGAGAGGGACGTGAGAGAACATGCCTTCTTCCGGAGGATCGACTGGGAGAAACTGGAGAACAGGGAGATCCAGCCACCGTTCAAGCCCAAAGTGGTGAGTCTAGAAAAGTGGCCTGTTTTCAGAACCCCATTTCCCCAAATTCTGGAAGTATCCCCCTCATCTCTTTTCTTGGAGAGAGGAGGCCGATGACCTCTGGCTTCTACAGGTTGAGGAAACCGGCCAGGTTTCAGCCTCATCCTCAGTCCTATGGCCTCAGCAGCCAGGATCCCTGCTGCCTTCACAGAGTAAGAACCAATAAGGCAGGGAAGGGAACCCTGTGTACACCCCGTCCTCCAGCTGGGCAGCTGCAGAGCACGCCCTCATGATTAGGGAGTGAGGCCAGCTCTGCTTTGGGTCTGGACTTTGTAAACTCACACCCAGCAGGGCTGTATTCATAGCCCTCCATCCTCTGCTGGACTCAGGCTTCATGTCTGTCTCCAGCTTTCCTGGATTTGCCTGGCACTGATGGGGGCGCTGAACCACAACCCCATCCTAGCTAGCTCCTAGACAGGGCCTGGACACCGCTTCCACATCCTCCACTGCCACCACTGCAGGGACTGAGTGACAGCCACCAATCCTGACGTTGCTGGCTTTTTTCAGATTCTCCCTGATTCCTTATTTATTTATTTATTTATTTAAACACTGTGCCCGGCCCTGTTCTCAGTGCCTTACAAATATTAATCTATTTAATCATCCCAACAGCCCTGTGAGATGGGTACTATGCTCCCCAGTTTGCAGAGGAGAAAACAGGCACGGAGAGGCTAACTTGCCAGAGGACACACAGCTGATAGGTGGTAGAACCAGGACGAGTCGGTGTCCTCACCCACTGCATCATCGCTGCATCTCAGCAACTGCCCTGACACTGAGGCTACAGGCTCTGATTATTGAATGAGACCAGCAAGTGCCTTTCATAATATTTATATCTCTAGAGGTAAACAGAGCCTTAAGATGTCAGCCTCGTCACTCACACCTGCCACTTTGCAGAGCCCCCAAAGGTGTCCTGTGCCTTCCCACTCTGCCTCTGTCTTGGCATCGGGTAGCAGCCCCTCCCCAGAGATTCCAGAAAGCCACTTTATTCCACAGTCAGTTTCAGAAGCATTGCTTGTTGGTTTTGCTCAAATCTATCTACTTTGACAGGTGCCCCATGAGCAGGCCAGGGGACCCGCCTGGGGTGGCAGAGTTACTGACTGGGTACACACAGCCTCATTCTTAGAGCAGCAACTTCCTCACTACGTGTGCCTCTGTGTCCTCTACCCCAAGAGTAAAACTGCTGTTGGTGAGCCCACTGGATTTTATTTTTCTAAGCTATTTTTAGCACACACTGAAAAAAACCTAAAATTAATCAGGTCGGTTGACTTCCTCCTGAATCATCATTTCAAATAAAGCCCTTATGTATCTGCTGCCCCACCTTTTCTTTAGCCAGCCCTGTGCACTGATTTTAGGGGGCTCTCATGGGCTCCTGCCCCTCAACATACATAACCTGGTTTGAAGGTTTTGGGGGGTGGGGAGAGTGATAAGTGGTGCTGCAAGCGGCCTCAGTAGAAAATTCTGTTAGGGATTTTTTTTTCCTCTTTTGCCTTTAATATTTATTTGTCATCTTGAATTATGAAGGTTATGCAATAGCATCTTGAACACAGCTTAGTTTCTTTATAGGAGCAACGGAGAGATGCTCCTGACCCTGCCTTGAGGGTTGAGCAAAATCCAATTACTTGTCAGTCAGTTTCCAGAAAGAGATGAGTTGCAGCAAAACCAACCATAACACATGTCTTCTTCTATTTATTCCCACCTCATTATGGCAGAAGAAGGTGTTTATTTGCATGGTCTCCCAGGTTTTGTGGATACTTGGCCCTACACCCGGATATAGGGAAGAAAAGAGGGAGACTTGGTTCTGGCAGGCGGGAATGTAAATTGTTCCCTGCGGTCCACGGAAATCACTGGAACAAAGTGGTACCCATGGCCGGCAGCTGAGTTAGAAGCAGTGTTCATTTATATTTCATTCCTGGAGCGCTACTGTTTTTGTTTTGTTTTGTTTAACTGAGGGCTGGTTAAAATTAAGGAAGAATGAATTGCACCTGGCTGTGAAGAAATAGCCCCTGAACTCACAAATGGAGGCAGAAATTGTGGACCCAGGCGTTAAAACTGGAACTTTCAGGCAAAAAGTCCTGCTTGGTGAGAGCTCTGGGCAGAAGGAAGGGAGAGATTGCATCTCTTCCCAGAGAAATTTCTCAGGCAGAAGCCCGTGTTCTCCTGGAAAACCTGTGCACAAAAGAGGAAGGAGCCAGAAAGAACACAGATGGACAGGGAATGGGTCCGCAGGGGTAACATTAATCATGTCAGTTGACTTCCTCCTGAATCATCATTTCAAATAAGGCCCTTAAGTATCTGCCACCCCCCACCTTTTCTTTAGCAAGTCCTGTGCATTGATTTTAGGGGGCTCTTCTGATTTAGAAGCACATGGCTACCGGGAACCCACAGACACTGGGTCCAAAAGCAGAGAGCTTCAAGGGCAGAGAGATAAATGGGGCAAGTTCTGGTTCCTGGAAGGGCTGTGCCTCTTGAGAGCTGTTTGCTCTATTCCCTGCACTGAGCCAGGCAGCCAAGTGAAGCTGTTAGTTCTGGTTCCTGGAAGGGCAGCGATGTGCCTCTTGAGAGCTGTTTGCTCTAGTCCTTGCACTGGGCCAGGCGGCTGGGGGACGCTCATGGCAGCATGTCATGGAAGGGCACGCACCCCCGCCTCCAGTGGTCCCTGAGGACTGCGCTCTGTTCGGTAGTGACGCGCTGGAGCAGAGGCACCATGCCGAGAGCCATTCCAGTGGTTGGAGAGGACATTTAGAAGAGCAAACAGCAACCGAAGTCAAAGCTGCACGGTACGCCGTGGTTAACACAAATAGCAGGAGAGAACGAGCTGCATAGAAAAGTTATTCTGGGATGTGGTTTTCCGTCTTCCTTGGTGAAAAGTGCACTGTGGTTCCCTGATCCAGAGCTAACTGAAAAGGCAAATGTGTTTACAGAACTGAGCATTCTCTGACAGGTGGTCATTTTGTTATTTCAAAGAGAGACGAGCAATGCAAGCCTAAATAGTGCTGCTGGGAGAACAATCAGGTAATGCAGCCAGAGTCTCTCACCCTGAGCCCATTTCTGAGCGCTCCCACCTCTGAGCAGTTCTTATAACCCTGGATGACCAATCTTTTCCATCTTGGTAAAGTCGGCCTGATGCTTCTTTAGCAAGTGCTGGTGAATCTATTTCCCTGAGACTTGCAGGACTGAGGACAGGTAGCTGTGCTCACGTGTGGTACCACTCCTGGCTCCCGTGGAATTAAACCTTTGCTTATGAAATACCAGTAGCAGGACTTCAGGTTCTCACAATTATTTGCAGACTGCTTCTACAGGTCAGATTGAGCTTGTAGGACCAGGAGTCTATCATCTTTGTTTTATGAATTTTTAAACTTTTTGAACCTTCAATGAAAGAGTCTCCCAGAAAGAGGGTAGGGGTATTCCATTGCTGGACAGCCACAGAGCTTATCCAGTGGAATCAGCATTCCTCTAGTGTGCCATCTTCTAATCCTCTTCCTGACTGCCAGAGTGACTTTACTAGAGTTAACCCTTAGACCACAGCGCCATGCAAAATGAGCGATCCCACCACAAAAAGTGTCTCACAGTGCCGTGATCCGTCAGGAGGTTAGCACGGTACTTTCCATCTCATGGTGACATGAAGGTCAGGATCTGCAGTGTGGCCACGGGCTGGATTCTGTGTAAGGTGACACATAAAGGAGAACAGAAAGAGGAGAGTGACCAGCATCTGTTGTGTGGGGCAGTGGCCATCTACCTTAGCGATGGCCGTCTCCCATGGTGATGATCATCTCCCCTGACAGTAGAAAGTTTGGAGGCTCAGACATGAGGGAAGAACCTGGCCTGTAGCAGTCAACAGTGGGAGAGTTCAGTCCTGGACAGAGCTATGTCTGTCCCTAAAAAGCCACCATGTGCCACCACGAAGACGATGATTTTCTGGAAGATAGAACAATCACTTCACAGGGGTTTTTTTGTAAAAACTAAAGCAAAGATAACCACGGACAGTGGTGCTGTGCTCCCTGGACACGAGCAGCCAATACCTAGTTCTTCCTCTTTAGGAGCAAAGCACAAAGCAAGCTGGTTTCAGGGATCTCTTTAAGGAAGCACAATCCGGAGCATTCTCTGCTTCCGAGGCACAAGGACCGTCAGCTCAGTGAGAGCCATCAGCTCAACCTGATGTTCTCAACAGCAAACCCAAGTCATCAAAAAGAGGCTCGTAGGCCAGGCGTGGTGCCTCATGCCTGTAATCCCAGCACTTTGGGAGGCCGAGGCAGGTGGATCTCCTGAGGTCAGGAGTTCAAGACCAACCTGGCCAACATGGTGAAACCCCATCTTTACTAAAAATACAAAAATTAGCTGGGCATAGTGGCGGACGCCTGTAATCTCAGCTATTCAGGAGGCTGAGGCAGGAGAATCGCTTGAACCCAGGAGGCAGAGGTTGCAGTGAGCCAAGATTGTGTCATTGCACTCCAGCCTGTGCTACAAGAATAAAACTTCGTCTCAAAAAAAAAAAGGCTTATAATGTTAGTCTACATAAGAAGAAATTTTAAGTTTAAAACAGATGTTGCCTCCGGAAAGGGTAATCTTCAGTGACTTAGGGAGCAGTAAGTGTTCACCTGCCTCCCAGCGTCAGGTGAGCAAGGAGGCAGCGTGGGAAGGAGTGTGCAGCCAGCAGCTTGGCCCAGCAACCAGAAGGCTCACTGAGGGAAGGCAAGTGCTTTCTGCTTTCCCAGGAAAATAAAAGCTCCAGGATTCTGATCCACCATCACTTTGAATTTTGTAGGCTTTTATTCGAATTTATAATTAATGTGAATGAGATGGCCAAGAACAGCCTTCAAATTTCTACTCCTCCCGCCTGTGATCGGTCACAGTTTATACAAATACCAGGAGCATAAAGTTAATTGATTTTTCTTTTTTTAGTTCTAGCCATTGGCACTGAGGAGCAGAATATCTGGTTCATAGGCAAGCCAGAATCATTCGCTGTA